GCAGACGGATGGCAATCTGAAATGGAATGAAGCCCACAGACGGCGGACAGCAGCTACCAAACAGTAGTGGAACACGCCCCATCCGCCCACAGCACAAAGTTCTTAAAGCCCCACGCTATCAAAAACTGGCAAAATACATTTATTTTATTTTATGGCCTTGACATTAACCTGTCATATTGTTGAGTTATCAAGGACACTTCCGCGTTTTTGTGTGTATACAGGAATGTTAAAGATATCATTGAGGAAAACGAGGTTGACATGACGTGATTGAATCAGGGAATCCGTGTGTCCACCACGGGAGAGGACCCTAACTGACTTTACATTGGCATTGTTTTCGTGGTGGCAGCGCGTAATTTCAACCCATTACGTGCTGCCACCACGGAATGCGGTGTTAATAGGTCGTGGTCATTTCACGTATTTCTGTGAGATCAGGTTGATTTTTAAATAACCAGAAATAAACCTTGTGAATAGGGCTGCATGATTAATCATAATAAAATCGTGATCTCGATTCATATGCATATGCGATCCAATTTTTTAATGACGGTGATCCCACCCGTGCCGGGAGTCGGGACATCATCTGGAGGAAAACAAGCGCTCCCAATGATGCAGCGTTATACCACGTGATGCAGAGCGACAGCCGGCCGGCAGTTTGGAAAGCAGCAAGACAGGGGGGAAACACACTGCTCACTGTAGCCTCAGTTTGTGCCTCATACAGATCTGCTGGTAAAGTTAACTTAGCGTAAGCAAGTGTGATAAAAGACGGCAGAGAGACGACGTTGTGCAAATAAACCAAAGATTTATTAATTTTCTGTAGCAGTAAACACACGGGCCGATAAAAAATCTGTTAACTAACTATGCTAAAGCTTTACAAGCTATTCAGGGCTGCCAACGATAACATTAATATGACAAACAGCAAGGCTACGGCTAACAAGCTAACATACTGACGCTCTTCAGACAGACACACACACATACCGGATAGCTTCTCAGTCCTTAGCCGCTAACGTTAGCTCATGTACAACACAGGTACCACACAGAAACTTTTACAGAGGGTCATAATGTGCTTCTAGTGACTGTCAAATCGCCAGCGAAAGATGTTTACACTGCGGACACGGAGAACAGCTGCCTGCTCTCATGGGACAAAGATCCTCTGAGAAGAAAGATGGTTCACTCTGCTCTGCCGTCAGGAACAAATTGGGAGGCAAAGATCCTCTCTGAGGAAGAGGGCTCACTTTGCTGCAGGGTTCACCAAAACGTTTTTTAGTTTGTTTTTTTTTTTAATAAATTGAACACACATTAACGAACATACAAGATCCTGTAGAGAATTAATACATATAATACAATACGATACACATTGTCAAATTAAATGAATGAAGAAGATTTTTTTAGGCAAATAAAATATTGGGGATTTATGTAAAAATATACATAGAGACATATAAATAATTATATAATTAAAGATATGTAGGCTATGTTAGGTGAATACTCCTGTCAATGCATGGTGTTGAAACGTTTAATTTTGATCTTCCGGGACGTCGGTGGCTTAGTGGTAGAGCAGGTGCCCCATGTACAAGGCTGTTGCCGCAGCAACACGGGTTCGACTCCAGCCTGTGGCCCTTTGCTGCATGTCACTCTCTCTCTCTCTCTCTCCCCCCTTCACGCTCATCTGTCCTATCAATTAAAGGCTTAAAAATGCCCGAAAAAATATCTTTAACAAAAAAAAAGTGATCTTCCTTAGTCCATTTAGACTTTATTTTATCATAACAATAACAATGAATATTATGAATTGTTCACATTTTAATTCAATTTTAACAACATTTATCACATTTTGTGGAAAAGTCAAATGTTGATTTTACAGTTTTAATAATCACCGGCGAGATCACCGGCGATCGGCGCACAATGCATGCCGGTTAGTTTTGTGTCCGACTTCATCCTGACTGGCTCTGACGTATTACAAAAGCCGACGGCGATAAAACCGCAAGAGCAAAGGCCACAGTTTTTAGAGCCAGGTGCTGCAGTTGCTCTCCACCGACTGCACCGCCTGGCTCCAGCTCTGACCTGATCTAACAGCTGATTGGTTTAGATGTCGACTCAACAAGATGACATTTTAGATAAACTATTCATTTTTGTTGAATTTTAGAGATTAAGATTGTATTTGTCTGATTTGAAGGTTTATTCTGTGAACAGAAAACATGTTGTGTGACTGATGGTGAAGTTTAGTTGTCAGAAACTAAATACATTCATCATAAACTATATAGAGTCTACTGTATGTTAATATTGGACTTTTTTAATTATTTAAGTATTTAGCAACACAGAGACTTGTGGTCAGTGGGATGTGAAGATTCTTAAAATAACATCTGTACAGATGTGATGTATCTGTATCTGACTGAGCTTTAATGAAAGCTGTTGTCTTGATTTTTTTTTTCCTCTGAAAATATGAACCTTATAGTCAAACTTAGTTTATTCAGCCTGTGTAGTTGAGGGGACAGGTCAAACTGATATGATGCTGATTTACAGGAGAATTCATGTCAAATGGAGAATAAACCATGAACATAAACTACAGATCACCTGCAAAGCATTTTAATAAATGAATCTATCATAATTAAAACAACTGGAGACTGAGAACAAACTGATATGGGTCTGATCACTTTTTTAATGAATTGACATCATTCCAGACAGGATGTTAGTGTGTCTGTGACTTCCTGTACGGACTGAAGGCTGCTGGAAACTGTCGGGAAACTGTCTGACTGCACAGCAGCTTTTTGTCTTCGTCCCCACCCCCCCCTCCCCCCCTTCCACTACGGCCGCCTGCTCTCATCTACTTTTCAGGTGAGGCGCAGTTCATCTCGAACAAGCCTATTGTCTATGGTCTATGGATCAAGGCAAGCGCTTCTTCCTACATGCTCAAAAACGTAGGTGCTGATTGGCCGAAGAGGAGTCCTGTGTATCTGTGCTCGATTGCTCTTCCTTCATCCTTAAACTACCCAGATGTCTGTCACAGTAAATTGAAATTGAATTTCGTCTCATCTCGTCGTTCTCCGCTTATCCGGGTCCGGGTCGCGGGGGCAGCAGCCTCAGCAAAGAAGCCCAGACATTCCTTTCCCCAGCCACCTCCGTCAGCTCTTCCGAGGGAACCCCGAGGCGTTCCCAGGCCAGCCAGGCGATGTAATCCCTCCAGCGTGTCCTGGGGCGGCCCCCCTCCTTACCAGATGCCCGAACCACCTCAACTGGCTCCTCTCGATGTGGAGGAGCAGCGGCTCTACTCCGAGTCCCTCCCAGATGTCCGAGCTCCTCACCCTATCTCTAAGGCTGAGCCCAGCCACCCTGCGGAGGAAACTCATTTCGGCCGCTTGTACTCA